TGGTTTTTATTTTTGTCATTCCAATGATTTCGTTTCAGTATTATGAAGCTTATTTATGTATTCAGAACTGCAACGAGGGTATATTATAGAGTAAAATATTTATTTATGTATTTCATATAATTTTTTTGAACTGTTTATCAATGGCAATATAATAATAATATAAAAACCACTGTAGTAGGGACAAAAATAACATACAGTGCATCAGAGTTCCTATATTTACTAGACCATATTTATCTGCCATTTTTGAATTTCTTTTCAATTCTTTTCAATTGAATTTATCAATATTTTTTCCCTGTAAGTAAAAATATGTAATGCATATATAATTCTGTACACATAAACTTAGTATTACCAATCCCATAAAAATATATATACCCATATATATAGTGTATACTTTCATAACTGCGCGGGCGAAAGCTGCAGGCATTCTAATCAGAATACCTTAACACGGACACACGGTACCTATATATATATAAAATATAATATTTTAACTTATACGTTATTGTATTTTCAGAGTGTTGTACAAACTAAATGTCCAGATAATGGATGCATTCGGATCGGTTTCGGTATCGTTTCTGTCGGGATTCTCCGTGTCCACCGCACGACTCACGTACCTGGACATATGCAACGTTTGCACAACGCTGACGAGARCGTTCCAAACGCAATTGTTCATCAACATCGTGGGCAACGTGTTTGGTGTCACGTTCTTGACGCTCTTCGCGTTCAACACACTCATGTCCGACGGCGCGAACACCATCCGAATCACGCTGTACTGTATCTACGAATCTCTGATACGCATGCTGCAGATGTACTTCATCATCGACGCTTGCCATACGACCGTCGAACAGGTTGTTAGAACCATAATGATATTATTATGTTTATTAATATAATAACGCTCGATTCAACATAACGACGACGGCGATGACGCTTTGACGCGTATGTAGGTCATATTATATAGTAGGTACGCGTAACACATTGTTTCACAGAACGATCCACATTACGGTATTTGATTTATTATTCAGGATACTTGGATACCTTCGCAGTTAATAGATACRCAGCACGTACAAACGACTATATAATATAATAATATATCAATACGATGAATATTATTAATTATTAATTTGTTATAGTACAGCGTAATAATATTTTAAATACTGGTACATGACATATTTAAAATTAAATTAMCGCAAAAGACAAGAAAATTATTGGAGTACAAGCATCTATTTAATGTTTACTATAGTCTATAAGTACATAGAAAATATAACAAAGGAACTTAAATTACAGTAGGTACAATAATCAATAAGTTAATAGCTGAGTTGGGTCATACATAAAATGTATTTTTATTATTAAGTCCCACTACTGTCGATATAATATACACAAAATATCTTCAGAGAAGTTTTTGGGACTGATATAAATACCTACTTAATATTCTAAAATTAGGTGCGCGGCTGTCTCTCTTTCTCTCTCACCCTATTTAATCTCAATAGTTATATCGGTGTTTATTATATATATGTATATAGTAATAACACTAATAACTAATATTTAATATATATAGATGCTTATCACCTAATTCAATTTTGAAACATACATTAAGTAACAAATCAACCAAATCCTCACGCTTTGGTACTATCGCATTGATTTTAACCTATGGATAAAAAGTGTTATACTTACACTCCGACCTATACGATCGTCTTATTACTAATATCTACCGACTAGCACTCATACGTAATGGCTCTCTCCAAAGGCAATTAAATTAGCACTGTTACCATTATTTTATCGATTTGATTTAAAATATGATGGTAGATGCATGTTGGTCAAACATTTATTTCTTCTATAACACGATAATTCGATATTTCGTATACCTCTGCTCAATTATATTTGAAAAAAAACCTCTTCAACTTAATAATGTRTGTCGTACCTACATGTGCCATGCTATGTATGTCCCTACTCCTTGTGTGGTTCCCTTTAAAATGTAAGAACGCCAAACGATTACAATAAAACTAGGTCACAGTTTTTGGTATGAAACGCATTTTTAAGAGGACGTGATACCCGCATGTGTTGTGTCCTTATAAGTGTGGAACATTGCAAATACTGTTTAGCGCGAGATAGAACCACTCAGTCTGTRCTCTAAGTAGAATCACCAAAAGTTAACACAATATGAAGATATATAATATGAYGGTATACCATCGAAAAATATACTAAATATATAGTTAATAGACAGGGTAACTTAACGCCCAAAAAAAATGCATGCACTAAAAACTGAAAAACTATGCATTGAAATATGCCTTAAAACGTTCAGAAATATGTATTTTTGTTCACTAAAAATCCAAAAATATGCAGATTGATAAAAAAGAATCATCATTAATTTTTATCTATCAAATAAGACAATTTAATATAATATTTAACATGTTTTCACTAATTGCTAAATGTGGTCATAAAACACTAATATTATTAGCGTTTTATTTTTAATAGCTGTACGTTGTGATAATTCCAATGTTATATTTTATTATACAGTGCAAAAATATGAATTATTAAATGTTTCATAAAATTTTGCAAAAAAAAAAAATGCAWATATATGTGTTATAAGCAAAAATATTAGAAATAAAACTTCAAATATTTTASTATGGTACCGTGAAATGGATTTCTATGTCACCTAGTATTAAATAATACTTAGCAATATTGATATGCAAATGCATGGACATACGAGCCCTGCACTAATAGATATACGAATAACGATTTATGCTGAGAGTGTAMATTTTACATAAACCTATATGGCTATATCTGTTTGGCCAGTATTTTTGAATTACTTTATTTTAAGTACAAACGRGTAAAATGTTTATTTGTCTATTTATTGAACACAAATCTAATAAAAATATTGCTTAAGTTAGATTAAGTTTTCCTTAATTACAAATATTAAGTGCTAATGAAAAATATTAATATTGATCTGCTGTTTAGGCGAATTTGATTAATATTACATTTCAAAAGAAAATTAACGAATATCATCAAGTAAACCTAACAAAAAGAAAGGTATGTACCTACTACTAATAAATTAAAATTTATCAGAAAATGAGATTTTTATTATTTTGAGTAAGATGAAAAAATTAAAAGGAATTTGTACTTGAGAGTAAAATTAATAATTTTTTATTTGTACAGGTACAATTATTCATTTTGGAGATGTTGGATCGTAAAATAGAATTTGTTATTTATGATTTCATTTACCTGGACTTTGAAATGTTTGTATCGGTATGTTAACATTAGTGTTACCATTGTATAAGAACAAATTCTATAATATTATTAATATTGTAATTAGTTATTATTTATCATAYAATTTCAGATACTAGGTACAATAGCTACGTATTTTTTGATTTTGGTACAATTAGGATCTTCGCCTGATGTCATGGTAAATTCATTGAACACAACAACAACAACAACAACAACATCAACCACAGCCGCAGGTGCATTCAGTACAAAATCTAACTATACTACTCGCACTTAAATAAAACAACAAAATTTTCTTAAAAATCAATGTACTTTAAATTTTAGGGCGTAATATATTARCTACTTTTAAAATTAATTGACATATTGTAATAATTACAAAGTAAGGAATTCATATTTATATAACCGTAGCTACTATARCTGAGTTGAGTGTCTTTAGAAAAATAAAAATAAAATAACGGTTTACTTAGGTGTAATTATTAATTATACGTACACAGTTATTATTACTTACTATTAGGTWATGTAATTTAAATTTGCCTAAAACGCCTGTTAATATTAAATTATCTTTTAAAACAGTGAAAAAAAAATACGGTTTTATATTTGTTTAACTTTAACCTTAAGCCTGTGAAACTAAGAGAATAATAACAAGGTTCTTCTCTCTGCTTTTCCATGTTCATTTTTGAAGGCCACATTGCTGTGGCATTATTACGTTTGACGTCTGTCCTTTGATTAAAAACATAGGAAACTATCAAACAGTGTTTATGATTTACATTTAACTATTGAAACCAAAAACTTTCAAATATAAATGTATAAGTATCACGATCGTGATTTGTAAATAAAGAAAAGCCATTTATTATTACATTCTTTAAAAACTTATCCAATGACATTATATAGATTGTAGTATTAAGCCAATGATCATAAAATAATCCAAGAGTATTAAGATAGATATTATATATTATATTATGTTTACGCATATGGCACATCATTCATGATATAATATATCCACTATCTAGTATTATTAAAAGTTACGTATACTTATGTGGACCAATGGCCAGAGCCGCCGCGGTCTTTTGAGATTAATAAAAAAAAAAAAAATTACGTGTTTTGTGTGTTATTAATTAACTCTTATAAAATATATTGTAGTATAKATTAGAATTTGTAGTAAGTACTTATAATAAATGCCTATCGGTTATTCGTATAATTTTTTAAGACGCGTGGATGTAGGCATATAGTCAAATCAGGCATTAAATTAAATTAAAAAATCAAAAATGTGGGAAAGTCGATCTCAAGAAGACTTGACGATAAATTCAAATCTGTTCTCAGGATTCATATCGCCTCATTATATCGTTCGGTACGTTAGAAATAGAACACATCTATAATCCTATGCTGAACGTGTGTTAGACAAAAACAGAAAATCACTGCTATAATATGCATTATTACTTATTATCAATCAAAAACATAGATGTTAGATATACCTACTGCATACTTAACTACTTACAGTCTATTATTTTATTAATCAAACAAAGTGGAAACGCATTTTTAAACTAATTGTGTAATCATTACTAACGTATTATACAATAATTAGATGACTTTTTACAAAAAATATTAAATAAATATTACACAAACACGTCTCGTCGTTGATTGCATAACTCAAAAGTCCATTTAGAGTTATTATCTCGTACAAAAATATAGTGATATATGAAAAATGTARTAAAAATACTTAAACTAAGAACATTCATTTGCAGTTTTTTATTATTTTATATGTAATTAATCAAATCTATAAAAAATTATTTATAGTAGGATTCTTCGCCAGWTAAAGGTGTTTTTGAAGTAGAATAGGATTTATGGATTTGTTCTTCACTTTTTAATTGACGATTAAAAAACAAGCATTCAGTTTGTGGCACATGCTTATCCACCGCTTTCATAACTGTTTCAGGGAAGTCTCCAGTTATCATTCTAGTTTGTAAGACATTATAGTTTTAGCATAAAAATTTTTAATACGATGTGAAATTGTAAAAAATGAAAATCATATATTTATCTCACTGTATTATGTCATCTGGAAAACAACAATTTATCTCCTTGATGATTTGAAATAATTCTGAATTTATYTCTGGGTTAATATTTTGAATCATCTTCAAATGGCCATTAGTAATAAAACTTCGCCGTGCAAGAGAATTTTTAGGTAATATCTATAATATATTCAACAATAATAATTACATTTAATTTTCATRGCACTACTGCAGTTATTTTCTTATAACTTATAACTAGGGAACGGACTTAAATGCCATAAAAGATAAGAAAAATTTCCTAAAATAATACGACTTAATACCTTGAAAAGTCACTTCAAATTTTAAAAAAAAATGCACTAAAAAAATACCCTAAAGAACTGTAAAAATGTTTATGAATTCAATAAAAATAAAATTTTGAACTAAAAATTTCTAAAAAAACACATCAAGTTAACTCAACAGTAATTCAAAATTACAATTTAGATACATAGCTTATATCTTTATCTAATCGTATGTAATATATTATTACTTGAATGTATATGTATATGTACGCAGTGGCGGCTCATGTACCTATATGTGCACAAGTGCAAGYGCACTACCTAAAACAATACAAAATAAAAGTTACATTGTTTAATTCCTTGATGTATGAAATAAACTTTGTGCTTGGAAAGTAATGTTTTCGGATATTCAGAAAAAAAGGCTACTTGCATTCAAATCCGTTCCCTACTTATAAGTTTGCATAAATTAACAATAAATAAATAAATTGTTTTAGTATTATTATAGGGTATAATAAATATAAACAACTTTCAAATCATATCAATATTTTCAAATGAGTTATTTACATAATTAATCTATACAATTTGTTCAATAAGAATATAATAATTAAATTTACACATAATGATTATCTTATAACTTTAAATTAATCACATTAATGATTTCATGACACGTATATAGTTACAAACAAACGAGAAATAAAATATAAAAATTTAATTAAAAAAATACTTATTACTTTGCTAATTTTTTCAAGTATATATATAATTATTTCATTAGGGATGGGCGGTATCAACAATTTGTCTAAAACATTAAAATCATCACATTTTTTCAATATTAGTTCCAGAGCAACTATACATTTGTGTTGGATCTCTCTTTCTATACTTGAATCCATATAAATCTGAATAAATAATGAATGTTATAAATTATAATCAAATATTGCAATAAATTATTGTATTTTTATCTTACATTTATAATGTTACTTATAGCGTCACACGAACAAACAGATCTCGCATGTTCATTACTGTGTTGTCCTATCATGCCTAACGTCCAAACAGTCCCAGCTTTAGTTAACTTATCCGTATCACTTTTTAAAATATCAGTCAAATGCATCAATACCTTATATGTATGTATATATATATATAAATATAGTTAAAATAGATTATTTCTATTATGTGCAATTAATCCAATTAAGAAATGCATTTAAACCTGTGATTGAAGTATGACTGATGCCAATTTTGGTGACATTGCGGCTATGTATCCCAAAGCATGCACGGCAGGATTAGGAGACAATTCTTGGCTGCACGAAATAACATTTAAGAGCTTATCTATCCCACCACTATTAACAACCATTTGAGCAATCTATCAAAACAAAAAAATTATAGACAGAGTGTAACAGTTATATTTAACTAATGGTACAACTTTTTTCTATTCAATATTTTTAAGTTTTTTAGATTCTGAGCAGAGCGAGGAATGTAATGATTTTACCATGATGTGTGTGTTTTTTTTTAAATTTATTTTTATTTTTTTTTATTTTAATTTTTTTTTTCTTTTGTGTCTGCTATTTTATTTTTTATTTTTTAACTAAAATTAAATAATTTGTATTTTGTATTAATTTTTTTCATACAATCCAAGATAGATTAGACTAAATAAGTATTTAAAAAAAGTTTGACTTTTAAAACTTTTAATTTGGTTACGTCATTGACTTTTAAACAATCTTAAAAGTTTTGTAAAAATTAAAATTTATTTCTTGCTAATCAATGTTTTTTATCATTAAAAGGTAGGTTAGTTTATCAATAATAAATACATATATTTTATCGTTATTTAATGTACATACCACCACCATTAGTCAAATAGACTTGTTACATCCTGTATAATGGATTTTATAAACGATTAAATAAGAATAATATGGTGGTAAATTTGTTTGTAGCCATTGATAGGTGTACAACATTAATATTACATTATCTTTATCACATACTCGTGATCACAAGGCAATACGTTATATATTTATAATATAAATACATTTTAGGATAAACTTCTCATTTAGATAATAACAAGAAGTGGATTTATTACAATAAAATATATTGATTCTATAATACAATTATTTAAGTGACTTCGGCTTTAATAAAATATTGATATGTATAATATGATTGTACCTGAACACTGTGTTGTACTACTTCGCGAATTACTTTGGCCGAATAGTTACGTATCGATTCATCGGAATGCGCCATCAAAAGTAATATTTCTGGGAATAAGTTTGATTCGATTGCATGTTCAGTTAAGTATAACGAATGCTTAACAATATTTTTTATTAATATCAGTGCACTTTTCTAATAAGACAAAACATTTTTAAAATCAAAATCAAAACATTATATTATAATGTAATTAAGTTATTTTTGTTTTATATTATTATGCATATATTCACAAGTTGTGCAARTATTTTAAACAAATTAAGATATAATATTTAGGGTGATTTTTAATCATGTTCAAACGCATTTTAAATTATGCATTTTATATTTAACTTCTATTTTTTTAAATTTTAAGTGTAGACGATATTTTCATATTATTAKAATTTTTGTAGCATTTAAGGAGTATCCTGTGATGTCATGGTAATAGTAGCATTGGTTTTTCAAATGAGAACCATAATGTATTAATACAAAAGATGATTTACTTGAAAATTTTTACGCATTATAGGTAAACGAAAATTGTGTGCAAAGTTACTGAGTTATTCTACTTAATAAAATGCTAATATATAAGTACCTATTTTATAATGCAAAATAACTTTAGAAAATAATCTTAAATACTTTGTAAATATATATGAACTCTATAGATAATTAAGTATACAGTATAAAATGCATATGGATTTATATTGTACCTAAAACTTTTCAAAATAAAAGTAAATAATATACTTTTAATAGACTATTATCATTTTCATTAGTGTTTTAAATAGAATAACTCAAAAACTTTTCATTCAACTTTCAATTATAATACGCCAAGATCTAAGTWTTTGAAAATATCGTCTTAAAATAACAATTAAAAACTCCGAACATCAAGATTTGAATAAATGCATAGTTTAAAAATAAAATGTGATAAGCATGCGTAGAATATCGCACTGTATATACGTTATATATAATATAGGAGTAAGCCGAGTAAGGTACACTTTAGTCCATACACAAACATAAATTTGACCTTTGAAAATCTAATTTAGTTACAATAGGACCATAGTCCATAAGAACGTGCACTTTATGTAGGAGTGAACATTTTATAATTTAATATTATCTTTTTCTACGCATAATATTTTAGAAATACTATTAACTATCATTACTAAACCATTATTACATTATCGATATTAAATTACCTAATGCACTATTGATAACATTTAAAGTTTAAAAACAAAATCACACAGAATATAGGATATTAATTTTAATATTTTATAATCTTATGTTAAATTAAGTATGATGTTAATTGTTTGAATTTATTTAGAAAATATCATATTATATAATGTTAAACTCATTCAAGAGAATATTGTTTGAAAAATAAGCCAGATTAATGTAATTGTATGTTTTGAAAATACCTAATTAATTATAATGAAAAGTTAAATAATAATTTTTAACAATATAAAATTGTAATATATACCTGAACTTTTTTATCAATAAAGTTAGGCATTAAAAAAGTTATCACATGAGGTAGAGTTGGCACATCCACAATTTTTAAAGCTAAATCTTCATTATTTTTGGCCATTTCATCYAATGCAGATAAAGCATATAATTTTAAACTTTGTTGTTGTTCTTTCAAACATAAAACAATTTGAGGTAACACACCTGAAAATACAAAACATTTTTTTTATATTATTCCAGTGTTAAAATGTGTTTTTGAGTGGGTGGTTTACTTGAATAGGTAAAACACATATATTAATTAGGTACCTATTAGTTAACTGTAAATTTATAAATTTTATCKTTTTAATATATAAATAGTTATTTTTTGCTTAAATTTATAATTTTGTGAAACTTAGAGCATTAAATTTCTATAAAAATAAAAGYTGTTTGTATTATATTTTWAATATGRTATAAAACCTTTTTTATGAAAACTTGTATTTAATTATTAAGACTTAGGTAGTCATTAAAATTAATAATACTGAGAATTTCAAACATGATAATAGTTTGTAAATTTTTATGATTTTTAGAAATTTCGTTAAAATTCTAACTTCTCTAACTTCAATTATTATATTTAAAAAAAAACTGATTATCTATGTGTTTCCGAAATCAGTTATACTAAAATATATAAGTTAGAATTTTCAGGAAATTGTTCTCAAAATCGCAAAATTGTAYAAACACTACAAACTATAGTTTACTGCTTCAAAAGTTGATGATAACATTGATAACCACAAAACAAAATTAAATAAACACATTTGTCATTGTAAAATCAATACATTCAGGCCTTAAGCACTCCACTCAAGATCTAAAATTGTTGACCACAGATAGAAAAAATTTGAATTCTAAATTCGTTTTAAATATCATGAATAAGTMGATATTTTTTACATATATTTATACGTATAWAATAATTATAAGTGGGTAGTAAGCAATAGCGATATAATGTTTGTATAATTTAAATTGTTTACATAAATTGAAAAATAATAGTACCTAGTATAGCACCTAATACCAGTCGATGGTATGACTAATTATTATTTGAGAAATATAACTAGGTAATTATACTAATTCTAAGCTATTAATTAGAAATTTTAGTTTAAAAATGTCCTAGTTTTGTTTCTCCAAACATTGAAAACGAATTTAATGATCAGTCAAAAGACTTGAAAATTCATTTTCTATATAATTTTATTTTATTTTGCAGATTTATAAGAATATCAAAATTATTTAGCCACATTTGTCTTTATAAACTCTTGGTGTTCAGTTTAAACAAATTGGATATCTAAATAAAAAATAACGAATTTTCCTRCAATGGTTTTAATTAGGTATTATGTWGTAATTCTAAAAAATATTAATTACAAGGACTGGAAACTTTTTGCCATTTATGTATATACCTAGGTACATCACGTTTCTAAAAAATGAAATTTTCAGAATACATGCACTAATTTATATTTTATGCAACAAACCAATTTATATCGTTCTACGGTACCCTCGAATTATTGACTTTTAATGTTAAGATCCTGCACGTCATATTTATATAATAAGGGGCAATACTTAAGTAATRTGCAATGTTATCGCCGCTATTCGTAAAAAAATACAAAAATATTTGTTTTTTCAAACAAAAACTTATGAAAACCTATCGAATATCGTTGTATTCAAAATCGTATTAAATGATTTAGAATTAGAAGTATTTCGAAAATCATAGTTCAATATACATTGTTAGAAAAGTTAGTTAATATTAGTAAATTACTATTTGTGATTTAAATAAATATTAAAATATCCTTAAAATAATGATACTCCATGTCAACACGGAYACACAATCATCAAAATAGTTTTTCGTATATGCATTGGTTYACTGATGAATTTAAATTTATAACGTAAATTACGAAATATACTCAATGATGAAATAAACTCCGATACCTATTATACAGCATATACCATACATTTTAAATGATGATTTTA